GGCGTTCTTGGACAATTCTCGATCTTGCTCTTCTTTTCTCTTTTCTTCCAAGCCCTAAGCGTTCTTAGTTTTTCTAAAGCTTATTTGGGACTTGGTTTTACCTGTAATATAACCTTACTAGGGTGAAAAGACAACTTTACCCTAATCAGGATTGGATTTTCCTTAGCTCAACAACCCAACTTCTGAAAAGACATATCTCCCTCATACGACATCAAATTTTGCAAACTCGACGGCGTTAGAAAAATCTTCCCAATGGTTTTCCATCCCATATAATGAAATCATCCAAACTCCTTCTAGGCAGGATGTTGTGGCCGTTTAAAAATGACCAAAACTCACTTTTGAAACCTGGAAATTTCCAGATTTCCCTAGTTATTCCCAAAACTGATTATTCTTGGTTTCTTAGCATATTCTCAGTTATTTCAAGTTACGAGATGTTACATTTTTCTTTCAATTTGGTTACTTTTTCAAGATCTACGCGAACAAACACTATAAATTGAGGTAGGGTTTATAGTTTTTTAATATTTGCGTGGCTATATGTAAGTGAAATTATAATAAGAGAAAAATCAAATCAAAAAAGGAATAAAGTGTACCATGTAAATCTTAAAGAAATAACCAGATTGAAAAAAAAATCAGCTCAAACAGATTCGAGTGCAAAGTTACAATCATTTGAAGTTTCACCAAATTAAAGAGTGTAACTCAAAGAAGGTAAATTTATGAAACTTCAAACGGACATAACTTTATCCTCAGACGTCAAATTGAAGCAACTTTTTAATGCAAATTAATTATTTTCTTGATATATACGCAAAATAACACCACACACTGAGATATAGTTTATAGTTTTACTTATATTTGTGTGACTATGTAAGTAAAATTATAATAAGAGAAAAAAATTAAATCAAATAAAAGAATTGTGTTTACCATGTAGATCTAAACAAATAACCTAATTGAATTTTTTTTGCCTCAAACGGATATTCAAGGCCAAAGTTACGTCATTTGAAGTTGCACCACATTAAAGAGTGTAACTCAAAAAAAAGTATTTGTAAATTTGTGAAACTTCAAACGGTCATAACTTTTGCCTCTGATGTCCGATTGAGGCAATTTTTTTCAATTCGATTATTTATTCGAGATATACGCGAACAAACACCACACACTGAGATAGAATTTAGAGTTATTCTTTTTTTATTATTATATATAAGTAAAATTAAAATAAAAGAAAAAAAATTAAATAAAGAAATTGAGTTTACCACGTAGATCTCAAAAAACTGACCAATATGGGAAAAAAATCGATTAAAATGGATATTCGAGGGAAAAGTTACAATTATTTAAAGTTTCATAAATTAAAGAGTTTAACTAAAAAAAATTAGTGTAAATTTTTGAAACATCAAACGGTAATAACTTTTGCCTCAGATGTCCGATTGAGGCAAATTTTTTTCAATCGGGTTATTTTTTCGAGGTCTACAAGAACAAACACCACACAATGAGATAATGTTTATATTTGTACTTTTTTCTTTTAGTGATTATATCTAAGTATAATTATAACAAGATAATAAGAGCAAATCAAATAGTGAAATTGAATTGACCACGTATATCTCGATAAAATGGTGAAATTGAAAAAAAGATGTCCTTAAATGGATATTCAAGGACAAGATTACGATCCTTTGAAGTTTCACCAAAATAAAGAGTGTAACTCAGAAAAAGTAGTTGTAAATTTGTGAAACTTTAAATGGTCATTACTTTTTGTCTTGGATGTCCGATTGAGACAATTTCTTTTTTTTTTCAATCTGGTTATTTTTTTATATCTACACTAGAAAACACCAAGCACTAAGATAAGGTTTATAATTTTACTTTTATCTTTGAATGATTATATATAAGTAAAATTATAAAAATAGGAAAATAAAGAAGAAAATCAAATAAAGGAATTGAGTTTACCACGTAAATCTAAAAAAATAACCAAATTGAAATAAAAAATCGCCTCAAACGGATATTTGAGGTCAAAGTTACGATCATTTGAAGTTTCATAAAATAAGGAGTGTAACTCAAAAAAGGTAGTTGTAAAGTTGTGAAACTTCAAACAGTCATAACTTTTGTCTCGAATGTCCGATTGAGGTAATTTTTTATTCCCTCTTGGTTATTTTTTCGAGATATACGCGTACAAACACCACGCACGGAGATATGGTGTTAGACCCTCAAAATGAGTTAGGGTGTCTAGAGCCTAACATGTGCCTATAAGCTTGTTAAAATGTTAATGGAGTGTTTTAAAGTACGCACGGCTGATTTGAAGTCGTTTGGAATCAAATGTAAAGGGACGACCAAGACGTTCGACGACTAGTCACCTAAGGGGACTTATGTATTTTTATGTGCTTATGTGTGTGTCATGAGATTATGAGGTCCTTATATGATTAATAATGATGTTTATAAGAAGTTTATGGATTTTCATAAATTTTGGAGGTCAAACGTCCAAGAAAGTCTAAGACATTCAAAAGTTAGCCCTTGAGACGTTCATGTGTGTCTTGAGTGTGTCATGCATGTTTGGATGTGTTTTACGTGTTCATTTTGGGTGAAACTTGCATGGAATGTGTTAAACATGTTAAGGTGTATATTCACGTTGGAAACGTCCGGGTAAGACTCCCAAGGGCCCTACAAAAGGCCCTCAAGAAAGACCTAAAGGCTGGCGAGACACTGCCTTGGCAGTGTCAATCGACTTAGCCAAATGACGCCTCGCCAATTGAATGACGCCCCGTCGATGGGGAGGAGTCAATGTACACTTAGCATGCGGAAGGCTCAGCCAAAGAACAGCCTAATACCCAAACGACAGAAGCCACAAACGGTCCATCGATGGGCCAACGTGGCATCGATGGTTGGCCATCGTTGCAGGCTTCAGTTACTACCATGCACCCTGCTTACTTATTGGTTAAATGAGAAATTCACCCCACAAGATAACCTGACCCTAGGAGGTTTATTTACCTATTTTTGGGTATATTAAATTTTTTTAAAACTTGAATAGCCCACCAATTCTCCATTCAAAATCAAAACCTCCCTCTCCCAAAATATCCTCTCTAGAAACCTCCATTGAAGGTGAAGTTCAAGGTCAGCTTGTAGATGGTAATTCATGGTTTCTTCACCAATTTTTATTGGGTTCTTAATCTAATAATAGTATTGTGATCCTTCATCTCTAGTTAATCTTTCATCTAGAGAGTCCTCTTCAAAGTTTTCAAAGAAGTTTCATGATCAGATCTCTTCTTCTTCAATCTAGCCATGGTTCTTTCTCAAATTGATTTCAAAAGCATAATATTAATGTATTGATGATTATCTACTGATTTGGACGTGATTTTCAATCCAATTTCATCATGAACCCATGCTCTCACACAAACTCGACTTTAGCCTATATATGACTTTATGATCTTGGTCTCATGTGTATCGAATTGTGATTCAATTATGTTAATATGCTTATACCTATTGTCTAGTATGTGCATTGATGATAAATTGTTGATGAATGATCCTTGAAGGTCAAGTTTGAATGTTCTGAATAAGGCTAGTCTATCATGTAGTAACTTGTGGCTTTGACGTTAGAATGGTTGTTATGTGACTCGATTATGGTGAATTGTCTTAGCTACTGCCTAAATGTGTGATGTGATGATAATTAGATATAATTGATCCAATATGAATAAGATAACAATTGAATTGGTAAGGATTGATTTAGGTTCTTCTAGCCTATAGACTTGATATGGTGATGTATATGATGTGATCTATATTCTAGGGTAGATGAAGCATGATTAGTTTATGATGTTCTATCCTTTTAGCCACTGCCCTAAATGTATGTTATTGATAAAATATGATTGATGATCAAGACTAGGGAAATTGGTTGATGGTCTATAACTCTATACTTTCTAGTACATATGTGATGTATTGTATTAGGTTATAGTATGATCTTGTAGCGACTTGTACATGGTTTCTTTCATGATTAAAGTACATTTAGATACTACCCTATACATATATTGTTGATGAAAAGGTGTATTGATCAATATTGATCGAAAGGTTGATGAATTGGTAAGTCTACTCTTCTCCTCTACTTTTCTATATTATTGTAGTTGATGAAGCCTTGTATGTCATTGTTTGGTATGATCCACTTATGGTGGCGGTGTTTATTTATTGTCATTATATATATGAGTTGACTATGGCCTTGAAGGCAAATTGATGTATATATGAGTGTGTAGTTATGATGATCACACTATGTGTAACTTGTGCCTAGTTTTTAATTCTAGTTGTGAATCTAGGTTATGTAGCTAGTGTTATAAGCATGTAAATGGTTATGTTAAGATCATGTGTAAATGCTGCCATTAATGAATTGTTAAGGATTGATGACCCCTACTCATATACCCCTATGTGGATGTGTGAATAGCTAATGTTAGGAGTCTTAAAGTGTAATATGAAGTTGGCTTGCCTTCTATGCTAAATTGTGTTGTGTGGCCTATGCTTGGTTGTATGTTGTGGTCTTAAGAGGGTGGCTACCATGTGTTGGTTGATAGCCATTAGATGATCATGTTGACCATTGATACACATACTCACATATTATGCATGCTTACACTACACCAAAAAAGACTTTAAGTGGCATTTAATATTTCTTTTAGCGGCAATATTTAATGCCACAAATACATTTACCGGCATTTGAATAAATGTCATTTGATCCAATGTTGCTAAAGCCTTTAATGATATTTATGCTGAGTGCCGGCAAAGACCCTTACTATTGCCGCTAAAAGTAATTAATTTTGGTGGTATTTATTTAGCGGCCTTTACAATTGCCATTAAAGCCACAGTAGAAACAAACATATTTGTGGCTTTTGTTATTGCCGCAAAGATAATAGTTGTCACTAAATTATTGTAAAGCCTTAAAACCTTAAAATTGATCATAAATTCACCATAATTGACATGTTCAACCCCCTTTTATAACATCACAAATAAAATTTACAAGAAAAATAAGTTCGAAGGTAGTAAAAAAAGAATTACCAAACTCAAAACAATGTCATTCACTTAAAATAAGATCAAACAATCTTTATTACATTCACTTTCTTATCTCGTTAGCGGTAAACGAAACTATGAATTATTAAAATAGAAAACATATGTTCAACAATGGAGAAAATAAGTCAATAAAGCCACTATTTTTTTCCCTAATGCAAAATGTGCAGCTTGATCGATCAGTCTGTCATTCCTTGAACAAGCTCACCATTTGCATGAGTATACCACTGTGCACATATAGCAATAGCGACAGATGGTTAGATGACGATAAATTGATATGACAATTACATATCTTACTCACTAAGACCAGGTGATTAAAATTTGACGAAATAGAGAAGAAAATGGCAATCCACCACTAGATTATGAAGCAGCTCCAAGGAGAAAAAAAAAAGATCAATAGTGGATAAATCAATTTTGCAAGATAATGATGAGCTTGCTAATAACATCACAGACGTAGCAGTAAAATGCTTGAATGAGGATCCAAATGAATGCCCAGATATGAAGGAAGTCTATGCCAACTTGTCCAACTTGGTTGGAACGTCTAATAAATCAATTATGCAAGAGCAATAAGGAACACCTTAACATCTTGTCCAAATATAGTAACTCAAACATGTAATGCTCCATGTATAAGAATAAAATCAACATTTGTATTTTGTATGAGCAGAATATTGGCATGAGTATGCTATAAATGTCTGCAATTTCATCATTCAAATTATTCTACTACTATTGGACTAGTCACCTAGTGTTACCTAGAAGGACTACAATGTAATATACCTAAGGCAATAGCTTCAAAATTCAGAATAATGAGGAAATAGATTTGGAGAAAAACAAACCTGATATAATCACCAATGTTCTTCCTCCCAGAAACATGGCCTATAACAGATGCAAAAAGGAGGGAGGTTTTCAGTATATCTGTGGTAGTGTTAAAGAAGGGAGGTTTCCACATCCACTACAATATTATCAAAAGCAACATCAAGATAACAAATTAAAACAATCACGAAAATAAATAGTGTAAGCTTGAGAAAAAGTAACAGAAACTTGGCTGGAAAAACCAGTAGCTTCTCTGATTATGTTTCGGTGTTGCTCATTCTCAAGATCTCAACAGTAAGAACCAATAACTTCTCTGATTATGTTTCGGTGTTGCTGGAGAGAGGATTCACTTCGGCGTAGCAAGTACAATAATACATGAAAGTTGTAACTATATATTATTGAACCTTGGAACCATTGATCTAAGTTTACACTTGTTCAATTTATATCTCTTTTCCTCATCTCATTGGTAGCTTACAATGCACTGTCCAGCTTTACACCACATAATTTGAATACACCAGCCTACCCAATATCTTTTGTCAATCTGCTTAATCAAACATCCTCTTATGTTCCCACCATCGTATGTATTTTACTTATACTTTGTTCCCTTTCTTCTTATAGGCATCTAATTACACGGTGAGTTCCGGGAGATCAACCTCAAACATTGCACCATCTATCTGCTACCTAACACTATCAATAGGTACCAAATAATGTATTGTCCCTATTGTAATTTAAGTCCTGAATTATTCTACAGCATCGACTTAATACAACCATATGTGAATAATGACACATCAAGTATATCATAATAAATTGAAAATTCTAGATCATCTCCTTGAAACCTTAGAAATGTATTAGATTATTATCGAATCTCACATCTACAAACAATTCAAAATATATTCCAAATAACAAAGACTAGTTATATTTAGAAGAAAAAGAACATTTCTATACAGTAGTTCTCTTCTGTAAGTGAAAATTTATTTCCCTAATCAAATCGGCAAAACTAAAATTTAGAAACATACAGATTATGGAATGTGCAACATGAATTTTGGGGACATACGTTTCTGTTTTAATTTGTCCGTTCAATTACAACTTTCTTGCTAATTATTGTTTTAGTACTCTAAACCCCTTTCTAAAAGTAGGTGTACTAGCTTATTCACTTATACTCCTCCTAATTAGAAAGCTGCACTAGTAGAATACATGACCAAATAACAACGTATAAAATAGAACTCAAGATGCAGATGTAATGATCGATAATGCAATCAAATATATGTTTTTGATCCTAACAAAGAATCTGATTTGTATGCATTACCCATTACCTCATCTCAGAAAAGAAACAAGTAAAAGAAGAGGACACTTTCAATACTCTTCAGTTCCAAGCATATGTTAGCTTAACGATACATTTACTTACCAGAGGAGTGAAACTAGACAACAAAGGAGATGCCTTGGTAGTCTTTTACCAGTTTCTGTCTTAATGTCCAATTCTAACTTCTCTTAGTACTGGTATAAATCTTAATCCTTGACAGTAGACACATAAGCTATTTCTTCTAGTGTTCCTCTTGCTTCTTCTAAGTATCCTTGTGTTTATTCAACATCTTTTGTCGGCACAATGAGTCGGGTACCATGATATTAGACCTTAATCAGTTGCAACACAATGAACCCTGTTCTGCAAAATTTCATGCCTTTGTTTGCTAAATAGTTTGGTTAAGGAGCATCCTGATATTTATGTTCTGTCTTTAAAAAATGTATAACCAAGATTATGAGCTCAAGGATAGGAACTTTTCTATATCCCTTCAGCCTCAGATGGCACTGGGAAAGTTTCATCTAATGACTTCAATATGTGTTCACCTGTTTAACCAAATTGTTTGCGGAAATATATTGGCAATAGCTTCAAAATTCAGTATAACAAGGAAATAGATTTGGAGAAAGACATACCTGACATAATCCCAATGTTGTTCCTCCCAAAAACATGGCCTATAACAGATGCAAAAAGGAGGGAGATTTTCAGTATATCTGTGATAGTGGAAAAGAACAAAGGTTTCCACTTTAAAATTTAAGATAACATATTAATCACAAAAATAAATAGCGTAAACTTATACAAGTAACAGAAACTTCGCTGGAAAAATAAGTAACTTGCAGTAGCTTCAAAATAGTTAATATGCACTCACCTTCTATTGGAGGAAGTTGAAATTTCAGTCCTTAACGATTTCTATACCTTCAACTCCACCTCTTACCCAACCATTGCTATCATCTTCTAAATCGCGAATATTTTCTACTCCATCTAAATACTCTTTACTGACTCTACTGTAATCCATCCATCTTCTATTTCTAGATTTCTCCATGATTGTTCAAGATATTCCTTATTTTCTGCAATTACAAAAAAAAATAGCATAAAGATAAAATAATTAACATAGTAGTTCTTGATATAGTGTTTAAGCTTGTCTTCGCCGTGTCTAAGCTTACCAATAGAGACTGCATTGGAAACTACTTACCAAAAGACATTCAACAGCTTTACAAATTACATCTTACGTCAAACTAATTTATATAACAAACAAATTATAGCTTACCAGTAGCACTTTACCTGATTTTTCACAAAAGAGTGCATTAAGAGAACTAGTACTTAGTTACACAGGATTCACCTTAAGGAACAAGCAACATGCAGGTTTCAGAGTTTCCTAACACTAATCATCACATGCCTACGGTTTTCTTACAACCAAGTTCTCCTATAACTCAAATGAGAGAGAGAGTGTGTGTGTTTAATCTCCAACCACAATGATATAAGAAACGTGTATGCAGCAGAATTTAGAAATAAGTTTGGATTTCCTTGCTGCTTTAGAGAAATGCCTAAAACGAGCTCGGGGTTGTCAATTGGTGATTCTTGTAGCACTTCAATTTGAAGAGTAAAGTAGGATTGAATGGAATAGATACATTAAGACTTTATGAGGAACTGAAGAATTTCAGAGCTGCAGGGGACCCTTTCACAGAGGAATTTGTCCAAATATTCTAGTCTGTTTATAGACAACAAATGTTGATGCTTGATAAGAGGCTTAAGTACATCCATGCTTGGAGGAAAGTGAAAACTCGCACGAGATACCTTTTGGTATAAAAAAATGGTCAGCTTTCCTCGTCATCCAGTGTTACAGTAAATTTGATGATTTCAGTTCATTACAACAAGCAGAATTTCTAGCTGTAGGTAACACCTTATTGGGTTAATTTAGGTTTACATCAAAATCCTACTAAATGAGTTACAGTTGAAGCTTTTCGAATCAATCACAAATTAATCAAACTCAAGTTTAACTTATAAACGAATTTAAACAAAATTATAACCAAATCAGAAGATAATTAAAGCTAAAAAACATAATTATAAGTTGATAGCATATGCATGTAAGCATTTATAACAAAAGAAAATCACAGAGAAAATGAGGATTAAGAACTAGAATGAGAGATTAAAGAGAGATCGAGCAGAAAGAAAAAATTGATGCGTGCTTCAGCTCAAACCCATAGTAGCCATTGAAGTAAGCTTCAAATTAACGGAGGCTTTAGAGCTCAAATCCATCGCAGCCATCGTGACTTCCAAAACTTTAAGAATGGAGTAAAAATTGACTAAGAGAATTTGGGTATCTAGGGTAAAAGTTTCTATTGGCTTTTAAAACTAATTGTTATTAAGGGTTACTTTTTAGGCATAATTATACATAATAACAACCTAATAGTTTAAAATAAATGGGGTAACTACTATTTGATTTAACTAAGCCCCATAGCAAACGTTTGTTAGTCGCCTCTCTCTCTAAACTCTCGGTTGTCACTTTCCCTCTGCTCGCTTCTCTCGTTTTATAGAACAAAAGTGTATAAATTGTGTTTCTGTTTTGTATAAAGCGAGAGAAAATCATATATGCAAAAACATATATTTTCGTGTTATACACTTCATTATACAATATACAAACATTTTACTTCTATTCAATTGCATACAAATGCAAATTTTATACAGATGTGGCAGCGAAATAGGACAACGAACTATACAATTGTGAATTATACAATTGCAGCGAAATACAATTTTCTCTCGCTTTATACAATAGAAGTGTATAAATTGTGTTTCTGTTTTGTATAATCGAGAGAAAATTGTATATACACATGCAAAAATATATATCTTCTTCCTATACACTTATAATTATACAATATACAAACATTTTACTTCGATTCAATTGCATACAAATGCAAATTTTTCTATAGATATTAAAACGAAATAGGCCAGCGAATAATACAATTGTGAATATTACAATTGCAACGAAATAGGCCAGCGAATTATACAATTATAGCGAAATAGACCAGTGAATCATACAATTGTATATCTATAGTGAATTATACATTTATATGTTTGTTATGGAGCGCATTACGCGAACTTTGCTATAGCATACAAATATGATTTTTTTATTTACTATATGTGAAAGTTGCCCTACTTTTTACTGGCATAAGGTTAATTGCCGCTACGAATAGCTTTAAATTACTATTTAGTGGCAATTATATTATTGTCGCTGAATAATTGTCACTAAATCCTGCTTTTGTTGTAGTCTTACAATGTAGCAAAGAGTCGTGGTGTCTAATGAAAGGTTGTTCTCATATTCACTAAATGTCTACTGCTATGCATGTAAGGTAAATGTATGTGCGTATGTTATGTATTTCTTAACTAGGATGACTTGATAGGTGTACTAGTATGGGTAAGGGTATCGAACCTTTTCTATGCATTTTACATATGTACCTTTATCGGATAGTTCCTAGGTTTGGTTTTTAAGTACATCATGTTATGAATTGATTTATATGCTATCATGTTAAGTATATGATTTGATGAAGTATGAATGAGCATAGTGTCTTAAAGTATTGATATGAAGGATTGCTCTATATCTATTAAGCCATATAAAAAGGCACCAACAGAGTTAAAAGAGTTGAAAGAACAATTGAAAGATCTTTTGGCTAAGGGTTTTATTCGACCAATTGTCTCACTTTAGGACACTCCGGTCTTGTATGTGAGAAAGACGAATGTTTCCTTAGGATGTGTAAAGACTACCGCCAATTGAATAAGGTTACCATCAAGAATAAGTATCCTCTCCCAAGGATAGATGATCTATTCGACTAGCTTCAGGGTGCTTCCTACTTCTCAAAAATTGATCTCAAGATCAGACTACCATCAGTTGAAAGTTAGGGAATGTGATATTCCAAAGACAGCTTTTAGAACCAGACATGGGCATTCTGAGTTTTTGTCATGTCCTTTGGTTTGACTAATGTGCCTGCAACATTCATGGATCTTATGGATAGTGTCTTCAAACCTTATTTAGATATGTTTGTCATCGTTTTCATTGATGACATACTAATCAATTCAAGGAATGAAGAGAAGATCATGCTAGTCACCTCAGGATAATTCTTCAAGGATAAGAAGTTATATGTCAAGTTCTCCAAGTGTGATTTTTGGCTTATGTTTGTGGAATTATTAGGCCACGTAGTTTCTAGTGATGAGATTAGTGTTGATACCCAAAAGATATAAGCAGTTCAGAGTTGGCCTAGACCCATATCTACAAGAGATATAAGAAGTTTCTTGGGTTTGGCTGGCTACTATGGAAGATATGTTGAGGGGTTTTCATCTATCTCGTCTCCTTTGACCAAGCTAACTCAGAAGACAGTAAAGTTTCAATAGTCTGAATCTTGTAAAAAAAGCTTTCAAAAATTGAAAAAGAGGTTGACTACTACTTCGTTTTGACCTTACTAGAGGGTACTCAAGTTTTTGTGACATACTATGATGCATCAAGAGTTGGTTTGAGTTTTGTGTTAATGCATACTGGCAAGGTTATAGTTTATACCTCTAGACGGTCTAGGACTCATTAGAAAAATTACCCAGCCCATGACTTAGAGTTGGCTGATATGGTTTTTTCCTTGAAGATATGGAGCCATTACTTGTATGGTGTTCACATGGACATATTCATTGATCACAAGATCTTGCAATATGTGTTCACCCAGAAAGAGCTAAATCTCAGACATAAGATGTTGTTGGAATTACTCAAGGATTATGACATGAGTATTCTCTACCACCCAGGTAAGGATTATGTGGTTGTTGATTCCTTAAGCAAGTTATCCAAGGGTAGCACCACCCATGTTGAGGATAAAAGAGGGAGCTAGAAATAGATGTTCACACACTTGTACGCCTGGGAGTCCGACTTATGGATTCCACAGAAGGAGGATAGTGGTGACCAATGGGGCTAAGCCATCATTAGTGTCAGAAGTGAAAGAGAATAAATACCAAGACCCCATTTTGCTTGATTTGAAGGCGAATGTTTATAAGCAAAGATTATTAGCTTTTGAACAAGGGGGAGATGGTGTGATAAAGTATCAAGGTACGTTGTGTGTACCTAGGGTTGATGATCTCCAAGAAAGAATCATAGAGGAAGCTCATAGCTCAAGATATTCCATTTATTTGGGTTCCACAAAGATGTACCGCGATTTAAGTGAGGTTTATTGGTGGGAAGGCATGAAGAAGGGCATTGCTGAGTTTGTTGCCAAATGTCCAAATTGCCAAAAACTGAAAGTTAAACACCAAAGGACTAGAGGTTTGGTTTAGAATATAGAACTTACGAAATGGAGGTGGGAGATGATTAACATGGACTTCATCACAGGATTGCCAAGGTCTCGCAAGCAGCATGATTCTATTTGGGTAATTGTCGATAAAATTAAAAAATTAGACCACTTTTTGCCGATGAAGACTACCCATTCGGCCGAGGATTATGCTAAGTTGTACATTCAAGAAGTGGTGAGACTTCATGGAGTACCATTTTCAATCATATCAGATAGAGGTGCACAATTTACTGCTGAGTTTTGAAAGTCTTTCAAGAAAGGTTTAGGTTCAAAGGTGAACTTAAGTACTGCTTTTCATCCTCAGACAAATGGAAAATCAGAGCATACTATCTATACCCTAGAATATATGTTGAGGGATTGTGTGATTTATTTCGAGGGGAATTGAGATGATCACCTACCTCTCATTGAGTTCACTTACACCAATACCTACCATTCGAGCATCCAAATGGCTTCATATGAAGCTCTTTATGGGAGAAGATGCATATCTCCTCTTGGGTGGTTTAAAGTTGGTGAAGCAGGATTGATAGGAAAAAATCTAGTTCACCAAACTATGGAGAAGGTGAAGGTGATTCAAAAGAGATTGAAAACCGCACAGAGTCGCCAAAACTCCTACACAGATTTTAGGAGGAGGTCGTTGGAGTTTGATGTTAATTATTAGGTATATCTAAAAGTTTCACCCAAGAAGTGTGTTATGAGGTTTGGTAAGAAGGAAAAACTAAGTCCCGGGTATATTGGTCCTTATAGAATCTCGAAGAGAATTGGCAGTGTAGCCTAAGAGTTGGAGCTACCACAAGAGTTAGCAACGGTTCATATGGTATTTCATATTTCTATGTTGAAGAAGTGCATGGGTTATACTTCATTGATTGTATTAAATGAAAATAATGGAAATCATGATAGCTTATCCTATGAAGAGATTCCGATTCAGACTTTAGATCGCCAATTTTGCAAGTTGCAAACGAAGTTGGTTGTGTCAGTCAAGCTCCTTTGGAGGAACCAATTTATTGAAGAATCACCTTGGGAAGATGAAGAGGATATGAATAAGAGATATCCACGTTTGAATCTGGAGAGAACATAGACCAAGGTACTAATTCTATTTTCATTACTTTGTAAACTATGAGTATGTTATTACTTGATTTTGATTGCCGAGTGTTAAACATTAGGTTACTATTCTTGGATTAGTGAAAGAAATCTCATTCGAGGATGAGTTTCCAACGGAGAGATATTGTAACATCTCATAACTCGTAATAGCCAAGAATAAGCTAAGAAACTAAAAAAAATCACTTTTTGAAAGAGAAGGGAAATTCTGAAAATTTTTCAAAAGTTAAGAAAGTAATGTTTGGTTATTTTTAAACGTACACAACTTCTAGCTCAGAATTAGTTAGAGTCAGTTCTTTATATCATTGGAAGAACTGTTGCAAGGGCTTTCCAATTTGGTGTACCCACATTTTATAGTTTATTCCAACACTCTAAGGTATATCTAAACAACATTAAATCATCCATAAACATGAGATTGTGAACCTTGAATCCATAATCAAATTTAAGGAAAGTTAAGATCAAAGTCAAAGAAGTTAAGAGTCAAGTATAAAAGTTAAGAAGCAAATCAAAGTAAGTTCTTAAAGTTTTCAAGAGTCTTAAACAAACATTTTAACTTTGTTTTAAGGCTAAAGCTACAAGTTGAACAAAGAGTAATGAGTTGAGTTAAATTCTCAAAAGTTATAAGGGAACTAAGACTAAGAGTTAAATTACAAGTTAAGCAAAAAGTAAAGAGTTCATTTCATTTCGCAAAAATTATAAGAGTAATGATTTGAGTTACAAGTGTTTTAACATTTTTAGCAAGGAAGGAAGCTATACTTCCAACAAAGCCTTTGGTTAGTTCTAGTAAAAAGGAAACTATGATTTCCAAGAAGAGTTTATAAAGCTAAGTTTGAGCAATTACCTCAAACCAGATAAGAAGTTATTTTTAAAACACATAAGATAATTATTTTGGGAGTAGTATTGAGTACCAATATGAGGACGCGAATTCATATTAAATTAAGCCCCCATA